AACAACTTTAGGGAGTGTCGTGAAAAAAATTCAAAAGTCAAAAATAAGGTCTACCCTAGTGTACAGTCGTGGACACATCGGTTGCGACACTTTTCTTTTTATAGGTTTCTAATATACATTTAATATACATAATATATACTTTATAGATAACTAATATTTTGCAAATGCGAACCACGATGTATTATCTTTAGTCTAGAGACAGTATAACCAATCGTGATCCGCATTTGCAAAATATTAGTGCGTTTTGAAACCCATAAAAAAGAAAGTGTCGCAACCGATGTGTCCATGAGTGTACGTACATACATAACGGTAATTAATTCTTATAAATTAAATTTAATTATTATCATTATATATTAATTAAACTATAATATATACATTTCTCTTATTGACTCTAGAATATGAAATTCCTCCAGGCGGATTAATTCAATTTTTACTGAATGCTTATCACTACCTTTGTCAAATTTATCATTCAGTTATTCTGTCATACAATTATTTTAATTCTATCTTCTTAAATTATAATTTCTTTTATCGAAATCTATCGATATATTATGATGCATCACAATGTTCTAACTTGAAAAATTGTAAGTTTTATTGCAAGTTTGTTATTGTTATACAAAAAATAGTAATTCAGCCAAGCTAAGATGCTCAAAAAAAGTTTTAAGTTATTTCTGCAAAGTGATGCCATCGGCTATCATCGGCACGTGGCAAGGATACGTCGCCAGACCGTAACATTTTTTTCATATGTGACCTTTGATGCGTAATGTACCTTGACCCATGTAAAATAACCACGAACGATTCGATATTGTGTCTCCGCAAGAAAGGAAAAGATCACAATCGATTCTAACGGAAGCTATTAATTACGATAATTTACCGTTTTTTTTTATCGCAATTTATAGTTGCCAAGAAAATTACTAGCGTATAAAATTTGGCTCATATTATTTAAAAGGCAACTTTTAATTATTTTTAATTTGTATACGGCATTTAATTCGTTTTTTAATTTATTTACTGTGATAGTGAGTGCTATTATTGAAAAAAATGATTAATCTTAAGAAAAAATAACAGAAAATTACAACATTTAATTCGTAATTATTCACAAAGCAAATAGATGGTGTAACGATTTGATACAAATGAAATAATCGAGAGCTGCTTAATTTTCGTGATTCGACGCTTACAATTTCTTATCGAATGAAATATAAAATGATCTAGTAAAAATCAGAACAGCGTAATTTCAAACACTCGGATTGTTTGATAAAATAGACAAAAGTGACTGAATAGTCTAATTAATCTACTATCAAAATCGCGGAATTCAATAAAATTAAGTATCTGAATCGACCATGGATTGTTTCGAACAAGTCGTAAGATGAGAAAAATGCCACAGTTGGTCACAATCATGGGCGTCCACAGGGGGAGGGGGGAGGAGCAAGGAGGGGCATTTGTCCCCTTTCCCTTAAATCAAATGAGTATAAGAAAATTCAGAATTTGCTCTCTTATTTTTACAAATAATAAATATATTTGTCAAATGTAAGAGAGCTAAAACTACAACACAGGTATATACAACGTTTGGACATTTGCTCCTCGTGGTAGTTCGTATTAAAAATTTGGATCATGCCCCCGTCTAGAAAAAAATCCTGCAGACACTCTTGGTCACAATAACAAGTAAATTTAAGAAAAACGTACGGCAACATGTTATAGACAATTAAGTATTTGAATCGACTGTGCATTGTGTTTCAAACAAGTAAGATGAGAGAAGTGTGTGCCAACACGGTATAAAATAGATCTTGGTACTTAATAATATTTTTAATAACGTGTGCTTACAATTGCTTGAACTGAGAATATTATTAAACACCAAAATCCATTTTGTACCGTGTTGGCATTTTTCTCATCAATAAGATCAATTTTAGAATTAAAATATCATGTGCTTATATATGATTGGAGGGAAAATAAAAACGTCGGAACGTGCGAATTCTTCACTTTGTTATAACTTGGCGATGTAAGTAAAATAAGACTTAAGTCTAACAATAAGAAGAGATATATCGTATTCCGCTCGAGCGTTTGATCTATTCGAAACCATCGCATACGCATGCAACCACACAAGCGTATCCCCTTCTCTTTTCACCCACGCGTCGGGAAGAGTTTGTATCTCGCCTTATCGAGCATGACGAAATTCAAGAGCAGGCAAATTCAATATGATGTGTTTTATGAAAAATATTAACGAATTCCATAGAATTAGAAACGAACATAATTCTCGTCGTAATTATTAATTTAAAAAAAACACCAACTTTCTCTCTTTGCGATTAAAAATTGAAATCTAAAAATTTACTAACTTTGGAATCGAATTGTATAAGAAATTTTCGTCAGACATTTGATGGCGATATGACGAATAAAAGAGTTTGAAAAATTGGAAACAATAATAATTAATTGACGCTATTTTACCCTCGTCCTTGACGTTTACCCTTATCTTCTCACCTCGTCGGTGGAGCCGGCGGAGAAATCATTAAGGGAAACTACCCAAGTGGCCAAGAGTTCGTTGAGGATGACAAGATCGTGATGAAGCCACACGATTAGTTCGTTGACCCAGCGCACGGCCTCAGCATCCGCACCGGTCGCGGTCGGAAGATGCAGCGCTCTGGAACTTCGGGACGGACTGATGAGAGCACCGGAAGTCTTCCGGGTCAAACGTTTCCTGATCGGCGGCGTGGGTGGCACGTAGCCTGGCGACGGGGCTCTCGCACCTGCTATCGCACCGGTACCACTACTACTACCAGTAGCAGCAGCAGCAGCAGCAGCAACAGCAGTAGTAGCATTAATGGTACCGCCGCCACCGCTGACACTAACGGTACCACCACCACCACCACCACCACCACCTGCACCACCGGTACCAGCCCTCGCGAGCAATGACGAAGACGTTGACGATGGTGACACCGATTTGGATTTGTCGAATAGTTTTCCAACGATGGAACTAGCAGTACTTGTCGTCACGACACTCTCGTCATGACGGGCATGACCATCCTTGCCAAGCTGTGATGATGAAGCGACGGAACCAGCGGTAGCGGCGGCGGTGAGCTCATTCAGCACAAAACGATTGTACACATATTTGCCGACGCACAACACCACCAAACCAAACAACATCCAGCCAAATATCAGCATCGACAGCGTATCCATGGTCGTTTCACCAGTCGAGTCGAAACTGCATATCAGATCATCCACCCGCTCGGCCAAGTCGGCCATATTGCCCCATCGTTCTGCCAACCAAGTCCAATTGGATTCCAAAAACATTCTTTTCTATTTTCACCCGCGAGCAACCGCGGCCCCACCACTGCTCTATACTTGGCTATTAATACGCCGCACATATACCCTGGGCTCCTCTGGCCACGCTACACGGCACTGGTAACCGTGATGTTCATCGTCGTCGTCGTCGTCGTCGTCGTCGTCGTCGTCTACTCGCGTGCCTATATAATATCTAGCGTGCGTTCGCTTCCGCTTCGAAAATCTGCGACCTTCTATCCAATCAGACCTGGCCATCGATTTCTAGCCCATATCTTTCCATGAACGTTTAACTGGACCAGCCATTCATGAACGTAGGGGTTGTCGGTCTTCAAGTTGGATCCGCAACCTCCAACTATTTGATTGAGAAATCAAAATTGAAATCCTTCAATTGGACTCATAAAAGTCGCATGCTTCTTTCATCTCTCGTCATCTTAATAACAATCTCTTTATTGGTCATCGGTTACCAATAAAGTACGTAATATTTTCGGGATGCTATCTGTCTATGTAAAGTATTGTAACTTTTGAGAAATCAAAAGCGTAATCGATATCGATTGTGTACGATGGACAGTATCTTTGAAATACGAAAAGGTTTTGAATTTAATCTTTGAGTTTAATACATTGGAAATTAGTTAAAATAATGCGTTTTATATAATAAGAATATCATGTATCTTCCTTTTCTCTTATTCTTTGTCGAAATGAGATTAAACTGCAAGAAAGAACGCATTCGATAGATTAAATTTCACAATTTGTATTAAGATGTAGTTTCTCAAATGGAAAATTATTTCTAATAATATTATTAATATTTTAATTCTCTCTCAAATTTTCTTATCTTTTAAATTGAAAGGAATTAGAACTCCCAAAAATAAATCAGCAATAATGAAGTAATATATGCCAACACGGCAAACCGACACGGACGTTGATGTGTATAATAATTTTTACTGTTATAGTATCCAGCTTTACAGAAACTATGCGCGCCGCATTTTTGTCGGTCTTAAAACACAGTTCTTACATGAAATCGAAATCCACTGTAACGAATTAAAACGAATTAAATTGACGAGCAAATTTCTTATCTTTATCTATATCTTATACTAATCCTATGAATATTTAATTCTTTAATTCTAAAACAGATATATAGTTGTCTGATCTTTCGAAATGTAAATAACAGCCAGATGCTTCAGTGAAAGGAAGAAAGTCTCATGATAGTTATATTGCACATTTATCGCAATTACTCTTGACAAATATTTTTAGCCGGCTAGCGATGTATCATTCGTTGGTGGTGAAGCGATAACAGGTAACGACGAGTGGACGCAACAGCGAGAATTGTTCGCCAACAACCTTGACAATGTCTTATCACTTGACTGTTATAATTTTCCCTCACTCGAAAGATAGATTGGGATATGTGCATATAGCATAAACAAAAAAAAATATTATTAATCACATCGCAAAAAGAAGACGAAATTCTTGCCGTTGGCGTCTTGTCGCTGGCGAGAGATTCAAATTCAATCTCGAGAAAGTCAATCACTGATCCGATGATCAGAGATCAATGGGATGGGTCAGTCATGAGGAGGGCAATGAGAGTTCAATCAGAGTCGCGGAAAGCGAACGAGGAAAAACAGAATGCTGAATTAAAGACTTAGTGATTGAAGATTCTTTATGATCGTAAGCTCTTTTCCCAAAAAAACCGTCAAAAAGTTTTTTTTTAATATCTAGCTGTTCTGTATAATTGTAAAAAAATTAAAAATAAACTAATAATAAGACCAACGAATATGCGGCGCGCAGTTTGCGTGTGGATATTGTAAAGAAATTATTACACACCATCATCCTGTGTTGGCATCCTCGCATACGGCTTCTACTTTAATATGTTTAATAATAAGACATTAATCGCTTATATATATATATTATAAATTAAGAGAAAAATCTATTAATCTTCAAATACAAGATACATAAAAAGATTATTAAAGATTAATTATTGCAAAATCAAAGTTATTTAATTTGAAAATAAATATTAAAATCAATTGATTCTTTCACTCTCTATCGCCGCATGCGTTTTCTAACGCTAATTTAGTGTTTTAATTCAAAATGATTGTTCTTTCTTATGTCGAATGACGTAATCGATACATTCACCATTAGATTAATGATCTTAAAAGCGATATCGCGAAACCTGGTGAACGTCTTATTCCAAGTGCCGTTACACTTTCGCTTTACGCTTTCGTTTACAGCATGTGGAAAGTGTGCACGTTCGATTTCTGTCGCGGTCATTGCGCGTAGTCAGGTAATTCGGCATTTGCTCCATTTTCTTATCTGTTATTTTGGATCTGTCAACTTGGTGATATTGACTTTACATTACTGTAAAGTCTCATTCTATGATATCTTAAAGAATCTTACTGATAGTATTTGTCGCATGCGTGAATCGATGAAAATATTTCGATCAAAAAATGTTAATGGTCCAAAATGCGACGAATACTTGGCACCTTTTATAATAAAAAATACGCAAATAAACATATATTTGCGTTGATTTAAAATAATTTTCCACTGAAAATGAGCAAAATTTAAAATTAATGTGAATAAAATTAAAAATTTATCGTAGTAAAATAACTAAATATCAGAATCGATCATAGAGTGTTTCAATCACTAAATTAAGCAAATGTTAACACGGTAGTGCTATTTCCACGCTTATTGATGAGTAATTTTATTGATAATTGTTACCAAAAGTGAATCGCATATGTGTGCACTCGTACGCGTACATTTCTACCATCATAAAAATTACATCAAATACCAAACGTGATACTGTAGGTGATACTATTGATTAATCTCTGGGCAAGACGATTTTCGAAGACGTTACACGAACAAAAGGAGATTGTTTCGATTCCTAATTATATATTTGACATTGTGTTAATTATCGTCGGCCGCTCTAAAAGATACATAATTGAATCATTTGATCGTGAAAAGGTTCGTAAACGAGAGCGTCAAGCAGCATCGCGTTCTGAAATTTATTACTCCCGAACATTATAGCTATCAAGATCATTTAATTTAAAGGCAAGATTCGAATAATAAAGTTTCATATTTTCATGTTTCGATAGAAACAACAAAAAACATGAAATAACGAAGAACTTTCTTAACACGGAAAGACAATATTTTTACTGGACATTCAAAATTTGGGGATGCATTTGAATGCGTAACTGCATGCCGTGTCTCGACGCATTGCATCTCCTCGCAAAAATGCATCCGCCGGATGAAACTACTGTCTGATTTTACTGTCTGAAATTAGAAATTGCCGCAAACAGCAAGCAATATGAAAAACGAAAAAGAATTTAATGTACAACAATTTTGCTTAGTATGCTATCTCTCACTGTATCTTCAATCAAATCTATATACATCAGATATAATTTGAAGAATGTAACTGCACACTCAATCGTATCCATCATAGATCAATAATCGTGTAATTAATTAACAATCAATTACACTAACGATCGCGACACGCTCGCAGCGTACGTGGCACGTCTCATTCACATTTTGCACTTTATTTCACTCACAGAACAATAACGATAACAATGACGAGACTGACGCGATATGATGACGCCTACCTCCTCGCGGAAAATGGACGCTTCGTACTCTTGGTTTGCAACGCCGGCGTCACTGCGTCGCGCGTCACAGCGACGCGACGGTCCGCGGCAGTCTGACTTTCGATTAATCGGCCGATTCTGTCGGCTCGACACGACACAGACTCGCTCAGTCGACTCGGTGGGGCAACCCCCGCCAGAATCCGTCTATAACGTTCGGGTTTCGAGCACCCTTCGAGCCACCCCGTGCCACTGACAATGCGAGTCCTTCACCTCGCGCTTCACCTCCCCCAGGATAAGATTATTAGACGTCATCACGATCAGGAAGAAAGAATCTTGGAGGTAATAAAATATCGTTTACATACATTCTGCATCTAAAACAATATTAAGTATCATGTTCATATTAATTAATATAATATTATTATAATAATTAAATAGCCTTAAGTGTACCATTCAATTATTTTTTAATCGCTTTTAATCCGCTTTGAATCGATTTTTTTTTCAATGAAATATTCTTTTGGATATTTCATATTGATGTATAGCGATCTTTTAGACTTTCACATTAACTGATTGTGAGTCAATTTCGTATTAAAATAATGAGTCAATTTATTTGTTAATCTAGTATCTTTAAGAATTTTTTAACTATATTACGTACATACTTATTAGAATTTGAAATTGAAAATTCGTTCTATAAATGTAAGTTGAAATTTTATCTTGTATATTCTGCAGAGATATAGACGTACGTTCGCACAAATCACGTGCAACCCTCATGGGTTGACTTCGTATAGGACAATTCAGAATTACACAGAATCACATCACAAGAGAGACAATTATTGCCATAAAGAAAGTGTCTTTGCGTCCTACTAAAAAAAAAAAACAGGATTCAATTACGCTAATCATCATCTTTATTGGAAACACTTTAAATAGATATTACTTCATATACAAAGATTAAACTCTCAATATACGAATTAATTAAACATTTCTCAGAATCAGAGATCGGAATTGAATAATCGGTAATGTATTTTTGAAAATGTAAATCCAAATGGCTCTTTTCCTTCTTCATTCTGACAGCGTTTACTTTTTTATATTTTTTAGTCTGAAAAAAGTATTAAAGTTTCTGATTCGTCCTATATTTCGCTGGTGTAGTATACCTCGGTCTTATATCGATCCGTTGTGCAGCACCACCTCACCCAGTAGTTGACCTCGCGACGAATCATCATCCGCTACCTTGACACATAGAATAAGATCCATTCTTTTAAGAAGTATTGCATTACGTCTTTCGCACTTAAAATAAAATAGATGTATTTATAACAGATTAAAAGGAAAAAAATATTTTCTGCAAAAAGCCCTGTAAAAACTGTAGAGACGAAAGAAATAGTTTTATAAAAGGCACGTACATGTGCAATCGTAGACATTACGTAGCCATCCTGTGTCCCCTGTGACATCTTTTCGATGCTGATGCAGAACCGGGCAATTTTTGGACCACTGTTTTTTATTGTAACGTACGTTATGAATAATATGTAATGCCCAGCTTATATCTTAAGAACTTATAGTGATTTCCTTTTTTTTTATAAAGATATAGATATTTGATAAATTTCAACAACTTGTGGAAAAATTATAGAGAAAATTAATGATTTATAAAATCAGTAATGGCTTTCTACAAAAACAAGGCTTAATTTTCCAATTCACGACTAGAGAACGCAATAGAGATTTCAGCGACAGATTTGGAAAAATTACCTTTTTCAATAAAATCTTCTAAAATTGAAATTTTTAAAACACTATTTTCATTGTTTATTAAATTTTATTAATTTTTTTCCGTTTGTAACATTTAGATCTTGAAATAGTTGAACAATCTGATTGTAAGTCACGCACGGTCTTTAAATATATATATTGACTATCAAATATGAATAACATAAATTTACGATAAATTATGTAAATGTAAATAATTGTGTAATAAAACAAATTGTAAAAGATTGGAGATTGAATAAGCGTATGTCGATGACGCAATGTAAGCTCCATCATCGTCGTAAATAGTTGCGATGCCACGGTCACATCGGATATTGGATCGTAAGATATTGAACTTATTGTTAGATTTAATAACCTAGCATAAACAAGACCGAATAATCGCGATTACAGTTGAAAATTGATCGTTGAATAAAACAAAAATACCATACCGGAGCAATTTGTTCGAATTGAGCCGGATAAATGCGATGTATATTATCTTACAATCTTTTTTATATTGAATATATAATTTGAATATAATTTCTCAAGATTGAAACTTGTGCTGGCTTTGTTTTATCTATATTTCTCTCGTTTATGAATTTCAGTTTATATCACTACATTATATTATTCACTTATGTTACATTGAAACGTAATTATACACGCATACTTAGAATCCCTGAAATTTTTAATCGATATTTGATAACATATTCATATTATTTTAATCGATATTTGATAACATAATCGATATTTGATTACAATTAAAAATCCTTGATATTTTCTTCTAGATCATATAAAAAACAAACGTGGCGATTGCCTTCGAACTTTCAGTTGTAGATAGCGCACGACGATGACGCCCGTCTAAAAATAGCTCCAAGAAATATTTCATTCACACGATACACGCGCGCGTAAAAACATGCAAACTCGAAATCTATCAGTTTCCAATTCGCTTCTCTAAATAGAGAAAAAGTTACACTTACATTTCCGTGAGGTGTTGCAATATTTCATTTCTGTTAATCTTTCTCACGATGACTCGATAAAAGTTTCATTATTTATTTCGTTATACAATTATAAAAAAGTGAGAAATAAAGATTTGTACAGCGTATACTCTTTTTATTGTTTTGTCATTCATTTACATAGAAATATTTTCAAGATACGTCTTACGAAACGAAGTAGTAGCCATATTCGGTGCTCGCTGTAATTTGCGCTTTCGCTATAATTAAAAGAACGTATCTTTCGATACAAAGTAGTTTTGTCGCTCTTCATCTCATTCGCTTAAAATATTACATAAACTTCGCGGTGTCCTTGAGCTCGTCTCGTCCACTTTCAGAAAAGTAAACCGTTTGTAAACCGTTCCTTCGGTGCTTACACGTTGCATTACAGCTCTCATGCTTTCGCTCTTGCGTTTGTGCGAAAAAATGAAATGAATTATTTGCATAAAAGAATAGACAAAGGGAAAAAATTGGGGAATGTTTAGGTCTAATCTCGAAAAAATGATAAAATTGTGTGAAAGAGTATTGCTCTGCCACTGAGATTCCTCAGCACCGAATAAGATAGTGGTCATCATGTAGGTATGTAAATAACGGTTGACAACGGTTAGCAAATATAAATCGCAAATACTCGCAAATTCTCTCGGCCCCACATTAAAAGAATTCAAAAAGATGTTTGTGAAAAACACAGTGATTATACAACGACGAGCTGCTCTCTCTCTCTCTCTCTCTTTCTCGCCCGCCCGTAAGCTCCGAATCCTAACGCACGCTGCGAGGAATCTATGAGAGAAATCTCGAGGGTTTGGCAGTCGATGGCTGTTGACGGACGCTGTTTGATTCACACGCAATCATTCAGCACAACATATCACAATTCGAGGTAAAGTTCGGCATGCCAACAACGGCGACTTATGATTCGCATAATATATCCTCGCATGCGCTCTCTTTTCGGCAACAATAATTTCATCGAGTTCAATGTTCGATGCTGCAAGAAATGTATGTCATACTGATCTGTTCTTTCATCATTCTTTCCATGCCAAGAGTAAACATAGAGATCGTTTTCACATATCTCTATCATCGAAATTCAAATATATATATGTATATCGATTTCAAACAGTTCCCTCCTCTCTTACGTAAAAGCTAGACAGTTTCGACGTTCCCCATTCGCGCCTCGTATTCGATTATGCTTTGCGCATTCGGGTAATTATCGGCATATTTTATCTTACATGACAACAGTCGCTTTTGCTCGCTTTTCGTCTTGCGCGAGTTTTATTGGAATACCGATGGATCCAAAAATTTTATCTGAATATACATTTGACCATTAAACTAGAAAACCACATGTATCGCGTGCAAGTCGCTCGTCCTAATTCGATCATGGTCTCTAATGTTACGAATTTTACGCGCGAATGTTACGATTCTTTCTCACGTATCTCACTTATGTATAGGTATCGAAGGCAGGACGAAGCGACGCTTAAAAGTGAAGAATACCGTGGAAGATAGAATTCTTCGCGTATCGGTATCGTGATACTTATTAATTAATGTTTATAAATGTTAATTTGCAGTCATTCCGCACGCGCATTTATAAGCATTTATAGCTTAAACACCAACATTTTCACTCGCACGAGTGAAGCCGGCGACAATTGTTAATATACACATTATGGAAAATACGTGCAAATTTTCAAAATGTAAAATCACACGCACTGATTACAATTATGCTAAGTTGACTTATATTAATGAAATTAATTCTCTTTGCACTCTTGTTACTCTTCAAAAGCGTCCGAGATCGTGTTCAGTCATTAATTATCTATAATTTATGTAAAATATATTTAGCGCTTAAAAGATAATAAATAATAATTCTTAAAAATGCGATAAAAAAGCGCAGAATCATGAACGCTCTATATTTCTGCAATGAAAAAAAAAAAATTATATATATATATATATATCCCGAATTTAAAAATCGTTTGTTGAAAATTTGGAAGAAAAGGAATGAAACAATGCAAATTAAATTATTAAAAATTTTCGTCGCTGATTTCACTCGCCTTAAACGTGTCAAGTTGAGAGTCATTTGTGCATTCGATCATTGACATTTTAACTTGACGATACATACTGTGCGCGCTTATCAATGGCCTTGGTCGCGACAATTCTTTTTTTCACTGTCTTTCTCGTTATTATCCATGCCTTCTCGGCCCGCCCTCCTTAAATAACTTTTTAATCTTAACACAAAAACACTATTAATACTCACGTAAGACTATGATATGAAAATTATAATTCCACTATGCATATACTTAACATACTCTGTATCTACGTGCAAAAAAAAGTATGCGCAGCTAATATGCATATCGCAACTTTGATAATGCGTAGTCGCAAACATCATATATAGACTTTAATGACGCGATAAAAATGCGCTACATTAACGAGAACGGCAGACAGCTGCGTGTAAAGGAAAAAAGAAGCAAATATTATCATTGCGCGATTATGCATATATCGTAAATATACACGATGTTTCACGATAATTGTGCTTAATTTTAACAACAGATTCTATGAACAATTTGAAACAGATTCTTCCTCCATTAAAACTATCGATATGCCAACATATTTCTCGAGTTACGAACAATTGACGAATTTTTTCTGAATTGAATTTTAAAGAGAAACGTATTAATAAACATAATATAAATATATGTATATAATTTATTTTTACTTATAAAATAGATAGTATATTTCTCTCTCTCTCGTTTTTTTCTTTAATTTCAAATTTAATTTATAACATTAAATATTTAAAAAGTGACAAACGATGGTTTTTTTCTTTGAAATAGAGGAAAAATCGTCTCGAAATTTAATAGATTCTGTCATTATAGTAAAGGGCAGATTATGTAAAACATCTTGTATATCGGGAAAGAAGAAGGAAAATGAAAGGATATAGAGACGAAAAAAAAAGGCGCAAGACATAAGCGACTATAATAAGAGAACGAACTCTGAAGTTGCTAGAGGAACATTCGAAAAAGACCTTGCCTTTCGTGTCAATATTTTCACGTTTTCTCCCTCTCTCATACATTGACAGCTCCATTTAGGAAAAAGAAAGAAAAAAAGAAGAAAGAGAAAAGATAAATAAAATAAATATACATTATAATGGAAGAGCCACTAGATAAATTTATATGTACAAAGGTGATAGAGTATAAAATGTAGTAAAAATGTAGTAAAAAAGGGTGAAAAGGAATGCCTCAAGAAATAAAGAAGAAAGGAAAAAAATGTATTTTATGTAAAAAGATAATTGTGCGCACTCGTGCAATTGTAAATTGCATACGAGTCTCTCAATTATTGATCAAAACATCGATGCATATGTTGACGATGCGCCGTGGAACGCAAATCATTATCTTACAGAAGTACAGAAAGGAAACAAATGTTAAATATGTCACACGAATACACTAGATAAAATTATAATCAATATTTAATTGAAAAATAAAAAAGAAATAATCGATAAAACACAAGATAAATTATGTGATATTTAGATGATTTAAAGATTAACTTTACCAACGCTTGCTGTCAAAATTTTTTATCTCTCCTTGCGAAATTAGATCTCTCACTCCGATGATTCGACTAGAAACTGTCTTTCATCTAATTTCTTCGGAATGATTATCAAGAGTTCTTATGATTACGCTTATCGTAAATTAACGTGCCGATGTAAAAAAACCGTACGTAATAAAGCATCGCGTAATAAAAAATTGTGTAAAATTCAGCCTTTAAAGTTACGAGAATTGGTAGAGGACTACCAAAGAAAAATTCGCGTACAAAATGGATTCTATGAGATAAAAAATGGATAGATATACATGCTATTCCATCATTCGTGGTCAATATTTTACTGGACATTAATCAAACATTTGTAGAAAATTGACTGATTGGTGTCAGATTAAAAGGCTTAATGATAAATGTCGGACTGTTTCACAAAAGATTGTTCTTTTTTCTATCTAATAATGAATATTGATTTGTTTAGAAAACAAATATTTTTTGTTAAATAATATTATCTTTATATAATAATATATGTATGTATGTATATATATATATAATATTTGTGTGTGTGTGTGTGTCTTTTAATTCTGATTAGATTGTTTTTTATTAGCAGCGTGATTTTCCACAGATGTTCGCCAATAGCCAGTAGTATATCTTATGTATCTTTTGATAACGTAGAAAATACATTATCAACGGTTATTAATAATAATAACCATTATATTAATAACGAATGAATTAATTGTATATCGCATTATAATTGTTGATTGATTGAAGATGAAAACTAAGATTCTTTGCGTAAAAATTTGGTCACGGCGACGTTCGTATGTATCACGAATCTAAAATAAATACAATCTCGAGAAAAATAATACAAAAAGTAAATTATTTATCGAACGGATGTTCAGATTACTCGTACACGCGAACAAATTAAATTGTCTAAATAAAAGTGCTCGTTGAAAGCAAGCTGTATAAAAGTTGTTACTAATCATAAGAAAAGCCATGAAACTATAATTATAAATGCCGGGTTTCAAGAAAATTGCTAACCAATCGGAAAGTATCTTTAATGTGTGCAACGGTATCTTTAATATACGACAGTAGCTTTCTTGGAAAACTTGTCGTATTAAATATGCGAAAAACATGAACCGCAATTTAGATATTCGATATCCAAAAATGGATTAACACGGAAATTTATTATTAACTATATATCGTTTAAGCGCAATGTTCTCGAGAATTTCACAATCAACGATCGTGGCATCTGTCTAACATCGTTATTGCTATTTACAACGTTCAACATGTCTAATTGTAAGAGATTATATCATCGCATCGGGGAACGACATGTGTTTCTTGGAATGTATTTTCTTGTTATAATTTCGAAGATTGATTCGCGTCACAATAAAAATCGATAATACAACGTGCTTTGCATAAATTAAGATGGCGTATGACATCGTGTTGATAAAGATAAAACCAAAAATGCGAAGAAAACATCATGCCACGTCATTGATGAAAGAATTCTATATAGAATGTTTTACAATGAGATCGGTCTTATGTAAAAGAATACTTTAACATCTAAGCGAAATTCTGTCTAACCGTATGCAATAAAACTATACGACGCGTAACTTAAACGTTGAAATAATTGAGTTTCTTCTTAAGAATTAAATAATTCTCACGCTGAAACTCATAGTAAAAAATTTCATTAGGTCGATTAATATCAACCTTAATTGTAAAATTTCTCATTTGATAAGTCTTGACCATAAATTTGTCAAGAACAAGAATGGAGAGAAATGATGGAAGTGAAAAAAAGAGGGGAGAGAGAGAGAGAAGAGAAGAGAAGAGAAAAATGAGAACATTATAATAGATATTTATGTATAGAAATTGATATCAATAATATTATAAATAGCACACCATTTTTTGGTCTTTATCGATATCTCTTTAAACTACAAAGCGATATAATAGTATTTCATTGTGCATGTACTTATTTTATATTCTCATTGAAGTATTTCTCTCGCTCAAAATTTGTAAAAGTTTCTCGTAAATTTTTATGCGCATAAACAAATAAATTTTCTTATATAATTGAATTAAATAGAAACTCAATTGATTCAACATTTTGTTACGATTGTTATGTAGCAAATAACGAAAAGATTACGGCCACTTAAAACACTAAGATTAATTTACTTACACATAAATGTTCGATATACATGAATGTAATCACATTACATTCTCGTAAATATGTTGTAAAAACCTGTATGTAGTTGTCAATGATATCGCTTTGATATCAAGCAATCTATAGTCATATAACTCTCCTGTATACTTCTATTCTGTTTCGTCTTATTCCTTTCGGTTTCGAGAGTTTGGTTGTATTTTTTATCTCTTCTTTATTATCTTCTTTATCTCTTATTCAGTTCTGTCCGTACGGCTGGAAATATAAAAGTCTCATATAAAGCAAAAACTTTTGCATTTACATTTTATAAATTGTGAAAAATTTTGCACAGTTGCAGTATAATATGTGTTTATACCATCGATTATTTCTTGCTTCATCTTCTGGAATTCTTTTCGTACTTCTTTAATTATCTCCACCTTAAAGGCCTCCATCTCTTGCGCGGTGAGCGAAGTTCCATCATTAACGCCGTTTACTTTGAGAAGAGTATCCTCCGAAGCAGAACCAAACCTCTTGCGTACCGATTTCGGCGACTCGGCGCCATTAGAAAACTTATTATTCGACGCATTGCTTTTATCCCAAGATTTCTTGTCTGGCGAACTTTCCGGTTCCTGTAAAAAGAATCGTTCGATTAGCGCTTTTTTCCTCCCCCCTCCGCCCCCCCTCTCTCACTCTCTCTCTCTCTCTCCCTCTTTCTCGCCAATCTTTCAATTCCGATATATTTATCAATCTCCAGGTTATATGATAAATATTTACTCTAATAAACATTTATATAATAAGTATTTATACCGGTGGTTGTTCGGGTTGTTTCTTTTCGGCAGCAGCCCGTCGGCGTGCTAGAGTTTTAGCCATCTCGTCCATCATGGAAGCCATTCCACCACCTCCACCTCTCCCTAAGGTGCCATAATTGCCGCCTCCTCCGCCGCTTCCACTGCCACTACTACTGGTGCTCGAGCCGCTGTTCTCCACTGGTTGTGACTGTTGCTATTGATAAAAAAAGATTTGTCATCACTTGCGTGATATTTTATAGATACAAAACATGTTAATTTAACATGGCACCAGATCGCGTTTCTGTGAACAAGTGACTGCAATTGATGTATCAAATTGAAAAAGATCCTATCTCTAAAATTGCCGTGTTATCTGCATTAAAGCTTCTTTTCCCCAATGTTTAAAAATTCATATCTTCCAGAAAAATAAAAATTCTTTCGACTTCTTTCTGGGCTTATCTTAAAGATAAATTATGTGGTTGTTTTCTAAAAAATCGTGATTTTATTAAAAAATGGCCGATTCAATATGGCCGATTAAAACGTCATTTTATTGTGAAAATTGTTGAAATTTGTTTAATTAAAATGTAATTTGGTATAAATGTTATTGGACGATGTATGGAGTTTAATACGCACCGCGCGCAAAGCGACATTTTTTTTGGAAAATTTATTTCTTATCAAAAATTGTTAACATGTGTTTAATTAAAATGTAAATTGGTATAAATGTTATTGGAAGATGTATGGGATTCAATACGCAGCGCGCGCGAATCGTCATGTACTAGTTAAAATAAAAGAGAAAAGAAAATGATTACCTGTTTCTTTTTAAGACGTGCTTGAAGGGCAGCGGCTAATGAGTTGGTGTCAGGCGGAGGATCATTCGAGGAACTGGCAGACGAGCCGGAACTGGCAGCGGTGGAACTGTTAGCGTTAGGTACAGGCGGTGGTGGCGGCGGAGGTGGTGCGGCAGGCCCGGCCAACGATACCATCGGAGGCGGCGGCGGACCACTTCCAGGAGCATAAGCATTAGTGCTGACCGTATGATGTCCGCCGGTAGCGTATTGATTCACCGAATTTGACGGTGTCCCATACGGATTCGTAGTACCCGCTGCGGCAGCTGCTTGCACCTGACCGGAACTGTTATATTGTGTTTGCGCCTGAGACACGATATTAGTGCCGTATTGCGATTGACCAGATTGCGTAATCGCGTATTGGTTCACTGGACCAGGTACAGGCGGACCGGCAGCATATTGATTTATCGAGCTATTACTTCCATACTGATTACCGCCGCTGCCGTATTGCGCAGCCTGACTGCCAACCGACTGGCTATACTGGCCTGTATTAACTTGTCCGCCAGTAGTGTAGTTACTCGTTTGACTGTTAGTACCGTAAAAATTGTTCTGACTACCGGATGGCGGAAATTGATTCGGGCTCTGGCCTACGACGGAGGCCGCACCGCTTCCGGTGCCGCTACCACTGCTAGGAACAGTGGCACTCGCGTACTGATTGCTTGCAGGCGCAGCACCATACTGGTTCGCCTGATTAGTAACGTAAATAGGCTGGCATTGAGGCTGTTGATTCGCAAGATTTGATTGGGATGAGGGCGATTGTGCATACTGATTCATCATCATCGGTGGCGCCGGCGCCGCGGACGAGCTAAAGTTCATCATTGTCGGTGGGCAAGGTGGGGCGGGGGGTGCAATCGGCGGTTGGGGCGGTGGTACCGGGGGACCGACTCCCGGTCCAGTCGACATTTGCGGAGCGGCTGGAACCACCATACCACCGACACCTGGTTGTGGCTGTTGAGGCGGTTGTGGCGCCGGTGGCGCCGATGAAGTTCGATGATGACCGGATTGTTGCTGCTGCTGCTGCTGCTGCTGCTGCTGTTGTTGCTGTTGCTGTGCAGTAGACGGACAGCTCGGTGATACGGGATTGGGACTTGCAGTTGCTACAAAGAAATTTCATCTCTGAATCATATATGTATAAGTATATATAACATGATATGTACACATTACATATAATAGAGTTTTTTAAACCTTACAATTTTTGTTTGAAACATTTTTCTATTAAATTAATATTTTCTAAGATAATTGGCTATTCCGCTCCGAAATTTTTGCTCCTCACTATGTATATATACATAGTACGTATATGTATGTATAATGCTAAAATTGTAAATTGTAAAAGTGTAATATACCTTGGCTTTGCTGAGACATTCTGCGTTCCTGAATTATTGCCACGTCTTCTCTGGTCATGGTTCTGCGCAAATAAAAGTTGAAATTAGTTACAAAATGATTTTTCATCGATGCAACGCATCGTTAATGTAAAGCGTATAAGTATGCGCTATGTAAGTAAGACCACCAGCTAACTAATATAATAGACACAATACCTTTACCTATACGTAATCCTATATAAATTGTATACTAATAACTCTATTTTAATTAGATTGATAAATTTCTTAACTGACGCAAAAAGAAAAAATTATATAAACGTACGCGCTAAATTTAAATGTGTCGCACGCTAACATGCTAAATAATATTGCGCTACAAAGATTATTTCCTGTTTTACTATAAATATATTTCAGCGACAGTAGAATACTTTTATCCTACATCATAGTCTAAACATTGATGTAAACAATTTATACAAATTAAGAAACTAAAGAAAAAATTAATCTGTTATTTTCATCATATAGAGCAAACTAATATAGCTATATATGTTATCTTATACCTGACTGCAAGTTTGTACATTTAGACCGATTCTTATCCGGCAATCGTTTCGAATATTACATTTATCGAGTGTTCTGAATTTTGTAAGAAGCATCCATGAAAAACCAGAGAAAAAAAATGTCGAGCTCGATGCCGACATCGCGCAATGTATTCGAGTTATTTTGAGAGGCGCAGGGTGCAACAGACGGAGCGAATTCTTCCGCTTAGTCTCTGCGATTTTATTTTCGACATCGTGTACCTTTTCGCCGATTCTCGTTTTCACAGTAACTCTAGTGTCCTACATGTAGATTTATTATACAGAAGAGAAAAGAAAAAAGAGAAGAGATCAGATTATACTTAAAAATCATTTGATTAAAATCACTAAATAGCAACACCCTTCAAAGGTCACTACATGAAAGGGGAAAGGAAAAGATGCAAGGAAGAAACGTAGAATTTAGGTTATTCTAACGTGGTTAATGCCCGCAGTCTTTACTACAGGGAATCAGAAGTCCTATAGATCTGCATGACCTTTAACCCATATTAACCTAAAGTTATCATATATGGCACAATACTAATTCAATAAATTGTCGACATATTTTAGAAAAATCTTTATAAAATTGGGAAAGCAGGGTTATTTAAAAAAAAAAAAATAACGCGACACCGCGTTACCGTTATTTTTTGTAACGATTCGAAGTAACGATTCGTTACTTTTGTAATACTAAAATAAGTTAAATTATATTTTAAATTTATATTATGTACTTAATAATCATTATTAGATGTAATAATAAATATTAAAACTTGAGAAACTCCCTAAGGTCTATAGTCTGTACATAGAGCAATTTTTTCTTTACTTTACTTATTTTTATAGAAAGTTAAATTCAATTTATTGTTTTTAAACATTAATGTCATAACAAAATTAATGTTACAAGTAACGCGTCACTTGCCAACCCTGAATTAAAAACATATTTCAGTAAATTTGTAGAGACACATTGCTTCTCGATAGATATTCACACTTTTCTGCGTCGCGTACATTTAATAACACGTACATTTGCGTAAAAGATATTATGAATAGTAATTAAAAATGAAGAAATTCTCAGGTTATTACAGGTTAAAAGGATGGGAAGATCACCTCGTGTGTCCATCGCCCGGTGAGCCACGCGCACAGCCCATTTGAATAACGGTGCCAACAGCACCACTAACGGTCACGTGCTCGGGGGTTGTGGTGGCGGAGCCCACGGGCAGGGCCGTCTGACCTCCTGTAGGCAGATGGCTCAGGGACAAGGAAATCCGCGTGTTACGACCTTGACTGCAACCAGTCAGGACAGATGTGTGACTCGCTTTAGGTGAAGTGAGAGATCGATAGGAAAATTGAAGTGGGCCTATGTCCATAAAGTAACTTGTCACCCTATAAACTTTTCGCGCTTTTATATCGTCCTATATATGTATAACGGCCACCTCTGTATACCAAAACTGCCTATCGTGTGATAGTGTCTCCACACTGATTTATTGTATTTAAAAGCAAACATTTCAAACAGAAAGAAACAGAAGAAGCTCGCCTGAATTTCGCTCAAAAACATAACGTGAATCGACTGGGCGTTGTGTGCACTGTATTACACCTCGTGACAGAAAATTAATGCAATAATGAGATAATATTCACGTTATAAATCGTATGAAAATATAAAAGAAATAAAAAAAGATAAGCGAAACATACCTGTATCCCATGTCCTCCTCATATTGAACAGTTGCCTGACTCTGCTGTTGCTGTTGCTGCTGCTGCTGCTGCTGCTGCTGCTGCTGATAGGCGGTTTGCTGTTGTGTAGTCGTGGTGGTTGTCGGAGCGAGACTCCTTGATATGTTGCTACCATTACTCAGCACCTACGCAACACCACAACGAGACGTAATGTGTAATTAGAGGCTAATTAAAACGATGATATATCCAATTATGACAACGCCCAGCAAAGTCGGTAATTGTAATTGCCGTAAAATCGATTGTTCCACGGGAGCAAACGAACATTTGTTCTTTATCCCCCAAGTCGCTTTTTTTCACTTCTGATGATTAATCCAAGCATTCAAGGCAACTATCAATAAAAGTTACATCAAATTACGAACTTAAATCGCCGTAATGATCTCTAAAATGGATTAAGAATGCTAAAACTATAGGGTCAAAATAAATAGTAAAATCCGGGATGCAAGTTAGGGTTAATTCTAATAAAACTGTAAGATGAAAGAAATATAATGAATTACATCGAGTGCCTGGAGCATCGCCCGAGCGAAGGCATCGGCATCGTCCTTACTGGAGAAGTTGAGCCCGTAGACTTGCTTGTTATCTCGCCATTGGTGAAACGTGACCGTGGCCTGATTGTACTTGAGTCCCTTGAGGATCGCGCAATTGATGACAATCTCGTGGTCCTGCAGCTTCCGGCCGACCACGCGGAACGTATTGTTCACCTGATGGTGATAGAGCTGGACCTTGGACAGGCCGGACGAGCTGCCACTCGGTATCCATTTCTTGTTCACGTCGTCATACACCATCACCGACGCGCGGGCGGATGATATGCTCACTTCACTGTGTCAAAACGATAAAACATATATATCGATTTTTGTTTAATCAAATGCATTTTCTCTCACATTCTTTTGTCTTTTTCGTTATGTTCTATCTCGAGGGGGAGAGAGAATGAGAATCGTTCTATCCAGTTAAAAGCAGTGCCTGAAAGTTTTTAGTGATATTTTTCAATTCAATAATTGATGTGAGAGTAACGAAAATTAAAGATTAGCGACGCGCGGGGGTGAATGTTACACCGGACTGATTGTGAGAATCATGGGCAGTACATGCGCGGCGCGGTGCACCACGTTATCACCTTTTCTCTTCTCATATATACTCACGCGAGAAAGTCGCATAATCCCAGTAGCAACGCAAACGACAAATCAATGAAGATTATACAATTTCTGCGATTTATGATATTTATCATTTACGATTGCATTTCTGATCGTAGTCGCTTCATAATCATTCTAACAAATTAACAACGTAGGTATATAGCTGCAAGTTATACGCATGAAACCGAATAATATAATAGAAACGTATAAAAATATGAATATCTTAGAAATATTGTCAATCCAAATATCTTTTAGGGATTGTCGCGTCGTTTATCGCGTCGAAAAAACAAACGGGTCCTTTGTGAGCATTGCGATAGCGCGAGGCGAGCTAGATTCGCGCGCGGCGAGAAGGCGAAGGACGAAGGAGAAAATTGACGTGCGTCGTGTACCACGAACGACTATCCTGCAGTTGCCAAGAAGATCGTTGCTGGCGATAGCTCGAATGCTGTTGCACGTTCACACGCTGCTGCGACGCGGGATCTTCTATTACGGAAGGGCGCATCCTGGCGAATGTGCCTTGACTCTGTGCTCGATCCTCGGACGAGTAAGCCTCGTAGGACCATCTCGTTTTACAAAAACTGCCGGTTTTGGAGAATGAATTTTCGCGTGAGTCCCACATGATCTCGCAAAGAGCTCCTCTTCTTCTCTCGCTTTAATTAAGTGATCATGTTTTTATTGCACCGATGTCGCCGATTATCAGGGACTGTACGTAATATACGTAAGCGATCGGAAACGGCGGTGTAAGGTAAACGTACAGCTAGTACGTGTGTTGCGCGCGCGCGACGTATAATTAAATGCTGATTCGCGACCGCGGAAGAGTTGGCTCGCTCGCTGTCGCTTTCACTGAACTGAGAGGCAGTTTGTGCTCCTTCCGTTGGCAAAACGAGAACACAGGACGGGGTAGGATGTGGCGAGATACCGCCACTTCCTCGACTATCCTGTTGCTGCTACTGCTGTAATTGTTGTGTTGCTGCATGTATATGTACATATACACGACCAGGCAAAGTGATAACACGACCGGCCGCAATGTCCGTCGCGAAACGCATTTCGAGAACGTTTGCATCGCACATAGGTGATGGATAGATAGATAACGCGAGCGGACAGATACGGAAGAAACGTTTTCGATCATTTTCCCAATATTTTCGCGAATCGGAAAATGAGATCGCGGCAAAGATGGATCGATCGAATTACGGAAAGATTATATGTATCATGGAAGAAAAAAATATATACGATATAAATATAAAAGATGTTGCAACTGATTTCTCTTATCGAAATAATTTCCTTCATTTATATACAATTAATCATTTTAGTTTCTCCTTGTTAACTTGAAAAGTTAAATCAAATCGATTTTCGTCGACGGATATCGAGAAGCATTCGGTGGTTTTGTCAATCAGCTGCCGCGCGATGTATGTGGGTCAGAGAGCGGCCTTGCATACGACAATTACCGGTCTAACTATAAAGACTATAAAGTGCGCGTGATACCGTCCAATATTGCTGTAGTACGCATGATTACTGCAGCAAATAGAATATGAATCGGTAAAATCAGCTCTTAAAAAAACAGACATTATCCGCGAATCCCTCTATTCCGATAACACTCGCTGAAGTAGTCGCAAACAACCGCGATCTTTTCGCGAAGCAACTACCTATTCTGGAACGATCCTTGGAATATTATCGACAATTTGAAAAAATACGTTCACTCTCGAAATTTTTGCTCTATTTATAATATACATATACGTAACATCTTTTTACATTAGTTTTTGCATAATCTTCTCAGAATTTTTAGAGAGATGCAAAGTGATGGTACGAATTGTATCGAACGATGTGTAATGCACTCTCTTATATACCCTTCTTCCGGAATCGCCACGTTCCCGATCGTGCGCGGATGTCAAAACTTTTAGAGCATAAAGCACGAATAGCATGGTATCAGCAGTCGGAAGTAACGTCGAGATTCTTTCTTTCTCTCTTTCTCTCTCAGTCCAGTAGCCATCAGACTGTTTGAGAGCATCATGTATTACATAAAAGTGGAACAAATGCCTTAGCTTGCTCTTCGCATAGCGTAAAACAATCGTAAATCTCAATCGCGACTGCAATGCATAGTCTACAGCCTACAGCAAACAAAGCTTGTCGTACGCAAAACTATACGCTTTATTTCCAGTAATGCTCCAGTAAAGCGTTAATCTTTCACCAAACGTCGAATGAAATAATCTGCACTGTATACTTCCACATATAATTGTATCTCGTTGTTGATTTCGTCCATTCCCGAAAAGTATTGCGATTGGACTCTCGGCGAACGGTGATAAAATCGTTAAGAACGAAATGCATTAATACATCGCGAGTGTTGTTCACGATACAAATTCTTATGTCCAACAACAAAAAAGATAAGAACGCAGATTTTTCTCCCTGCAGAATTGCTGAAATTTTCATCCTGGTGATAATCTTTTAAATCTTGTTCATTCTTGTTAGACTTGAAAAATCTAAACAAATAAAGTTTATAAGAAAAGCAAATCTTATTTTTATTCACATCTTAAATTGCAAATAATAATTCGTCATATATATTGTACTTATACATATAATAAATTACAATTTAAATAAACTATGTCGTCTGGAAAAGAATGTCGAAATCTGAATACGTATATTTAATGGCAATTCTGCATTGCGGTTTTCGTCACGTTTTTATTATATCTCATTGCATTGTATCACGGCAGAGAGAACAAAAGTATTCTATACGCGAGAGGAAGCAGTGACGAATGAAGTGACGGTACATGCGACATTGGATATCGAATTTATTTTCTACGTCGCAGAAGCACGCATTACATTTCGTTTTGATACAGCTGGTTAGTTTATACGAGTCTCATCGACAATGACGAATCCAATCGTGACGACTTTATTAATTCTCGGCTCGGCAGACTTGCGCGACCGATGTGCTATCTCTTATCGAAGAAAACGTTTAGATTTAGACAGAACTGTTCGAGCACTGACGCATTTTCAGCGACACTAGGTTTATCAACACAATTTGGGCGACACGTCAGACGCGATAACAGGGAAATTGATACAGATGACAAGCTTTCAGCGTATCCCTACAAATGCTTTATGCCCCGTCAAACTCCTTTACTAATATTGTAATCACAGAGAAAATATATAATACTTTATCTCTGCGAAATTTTTTAAAATTCGATTCCTACCAAGTATTTCTAAGAGATCTATCATTTTGTACTGTAAGACATATTTACTATACTAGATAAAAACTGTTATTTAAAATCGTTTATAATTTGTTTCTTTTTTTTTTAGAGGAGGGGAAGAAATAAAGCGGTATCGTTCAAAGAAGCATATGGCTTCATGGTTTCATCTTGATGAAATGAATACGATCACCGAAAGTAGCATATGGCAGGTAGCCATGCGTCACATTAATTGGATAAGTAAGTCAAGCCTCGACACTCGAGTAGTCTTCCTCTTGTAACGCGAGCTCTAAATCTAAGGATCCCAAAGTCTGACCCGTCTCGTATAAACTGAAATGCAATTTCTTTCAATTTCAATACTAGAACGAATAATGCAGAGTTTTGTCTAACGGATTTTAAATCTCTAAACAGAATTTTTCATAATTCGATCATCTAGATGCAGACAATTTTGAGGTAAGTAGTGAGAGAGAGAGAGAGAGATATTGCTGTAACCAGTTATGTCTTATTAAATAGATAATTTTCATCAAATTTTCACCAAATATTGAATAAATATATAGATGTAAAAAGAGTCGAGAAGTGGAAGCATCTATTTAATAAAAGATCCATTCGTGAAAAGATTTGTCAAAGAAAAGCCATATATAGATTTTGTAGCAAGGAACCAACGAAAAAATATATTTGTACTTTTATATTACATTCAAAGAATAAAATCGAAATTGAATCAACTTAGTCATATCGTTTGCGTTTGCATAGCGATATCACACGCGTACGTAAAGAAGCGCAAGATTTTTTTTCATATATACAAAAGAGGGCGTAAGAAAGTGGTCATGGAAAAATTTTTCTCAGCCGGTGCAAGGTGCAACACAATGAGCGCGACAATGGAAATTTAACAAAGGAGCGTGCAACCTTCGAGTTATATGTACCTACATGTTAGAATGTTATATGTATATACCATGTAGTGACCATATTGCATCCTTTGTACACTAAAGACTGCACTCACTTGGGGAATGAGTAAAACTTGAAATTATTTTATTAACAAGCCTTGGCTTTGTTTTTATTAATTCATTATGCATTGAAATCAATTATTTTTATTTAACTTTCAAATAATATCTTGTATTGATACGTTATTGTGACTTTGGCAATATATGGCGAATAGGTCAAAGCTCCCTTCGAATCCAAGCTGGTTAAGCGAGGGTAAAAGTGGGTTACTCGAGCAATCTGTACCATATCGCAGCATTAAAATTAATTAAGCTCGATTATTGAACGTGAAATTGAAAGCCATTACGCGGCTTTACCCACGGTTTAGCAAATGACAGTGGGATACGATACGACGATTTGTTCTCTTCTCAGCAGGAGAGATAGTGTATACGTATACGTATAACGTATGCATATCGCACATGCACACACGTCGTCGTCGAAAACACGCCGGATCATCGTACTCGCTAATGCACAAAACGTAACATTTCCGGTAGGTATATAGGGTGTTCCATCGCCAACCGATCTAAGTCATATTGTGACAATGCGTTATAATGACCTGGGATCGAGCTAACTGTAGCAAAAATTTAATGGAAGGCCACCGTGTTAATTTTTACTTGATTAAACATCTTGACAATATTAAAGTTCCAACTGGAACTATTCCGTTACCGAAAAATAAAGCTGAATCTGACGAATAAAATAACTGATTAAACACGAAAACTTTAACGCCTAGAATGTTACCGTTATTTGAATTGGATGATAAATGATTTCGCGAAAAAAATGGTGCAAAAATTATCATAATATTTTTGCGTAATTCGGAAAGCTTTGACCAAGTTGCGAGAGGACCCCGCATATATACACTCGCATATCCATACACGACGTGAATGTAGGGTACGTTACTTGGGCAAACGTTCACGTGAGTCGTCCCCCAGGTGTGGTCATTAACTCGGCTCGACAGCGGAAAAATCGCCTGAAATCATCACATGTATGGGAAGGCCCATACATATATATATATATATACATACATATCCTCGTATATCGTATACATCGAGTGCAGAAAGATCGAAACGCGGACGAAGATGAAATCGAGAAGGAGGCTCGACTGTCTCCTTCTTAACCACCTCCGCAAAAGCAAGATAGAATGATGCGGAATTGAGCGGAAGTCGCTCGCGGCCTTCGCCGCGCTGACTTTTCGTCTCACACGCTCGATACTTGGTGACTAAAGAGAAACCCCGAGATTATCATCTCGATGAGTTTACAGGACACCTAAAAGTAATACATATATGTACTTACTTGGAAACATGACGTTAAAACGCGACAATTGGCTATGATACTTTCTCTTGTGATTCTCAAAAATTGAATCGCTAATAAAAAATTTAATTATATTTTCTATATAATTTGAGACGATTAAATAATTTGATAACGCACAGTATAAACTGGCGCTGCACTTTTTTTCTTCAGAAAACCAGAAAGAATTAAAATTAAAATTGTTTTGTTAAAAAAAAAAATTGAACAAAATTTTCTTAGAATTATTATTGACGGGACACTCCGTCATGTATCAGAGTGTAAGAAAAGGATTATCAGAATGAAGTCATCGTGCGTTTTCACCGAAAAGCATTCTATCCATATCTTCCCTTGATACGAATTGCACGACAAATCAGAATTCTGAATCAGAATTTCATCGTTTCACCGAATATGATTGATTAAGGGGGGAATGTTTCATGATACTGGTCAACGGAATATTTTAAATTTAAATCAATATATTTGTGCCTAAGCGAATAAACAACTAAACAGGTATTTTTATAATGTAGAAATGCTAATATTATTAGACAAATTTTCTAATCGCACGCGATTTTTTATCGCGTTATTTTTCAAAGACAAGACGAAGGAATTTTTTTGCTGAGTTATAGCATATAATGCTGGCTGCGAGCATGGTGTAATTAATGAATTCACGCGAGTCATGGCGCAATAGACAAGGTTGCAAAATCTGCGTAATGCCAGCACTTGGTTCGTTATTAAATAGTAATATCGATAGTTTGTTAATTAAAGGATTAAATATTGAACGCTATCCAAATTTATCTACATAAATACATTTATTTCAAGTCGACTGTTTAAAACACATGAATAATAGCGCATATGAAAACTACGTACTCCATTTTCTAATCTACAACACGTGCCAAATTAATTAAGATCTAAGGGATTAATTTCGGCTGTTTCTCTATTAATTTTAATAAGCAATCCGCTTGTTTATCCAAAGTGATGGAATTAAAAGCAATATTTGTAAATTTGTACTGGATTACAAACCGAACGTTATTTGAGACAGTAAAACGTAAAAACTTTACATGTTCGCTGGAGCACGCTTTTGTATTTTAGATTTTTTCACGGAAACCCAAATCGCTTGAGTAGCACGCTACAAAACTACAAGTCGTTGCCGATACCTTCACCTTCGCATTTTTGAAGCGTCACGCGACCACCGCTTCGCGACAACAGTACACATCGATGCAATCTGATATGAGCAAGCGGAATTGAAGCGAAACGTTGAGATTGCGTCTCTTTAAACATAGCTCTTGAGCAAATTTTACTCCTACTTGTACAAAGAAATAGAGAGTAGAAACAATTTTTCGACAAGCTTATCTCAGCACCCGGTAATTTTGGCGGCTTTGTAAGAATAATGTTAACAATTTGTAAGCAAAGAAACAAATTAAAAGTATCACATCTTTGAGTCGAGACAGTTTTTGAAAAAGAACGTTATCATAATAGATTCTTTGCATGACGAAATGTAAAATTGTAATGTTTACCGTATCCACGTTAGTGCGAAAAGTGAGTAATATTCGTGGAAAGAAATGGAGTAGAAAAGTATCGCGTCGCAAGGCACTTTAGATAGGGCCTCGGGGTTGAAACTTGAAAGACGGCCGGCAGATGCACGTAAAAATCGTAAGATGCATCGTGCAGTACGCGTATGTACATACGCGCAAAGGCAGGCAGGTAGAGGAACGATGGAACGGACGTGAACGAACGTCATTAGGCGACGTTAGCTTGTCGCAGTTTTTTTGACAGGCAAGGCCTCGCAGGGCAGGGCTTCGCAGGGCAGGGCCTCGCGACTCTGCGAAGCATTCGTGGAAAGGGTGAAAAGGAAGTACCTAAAGCTCGCGGACGAAGGTACTCGCGAGAGCGAGAGCGTCTTTCCCGGAGCGAAGGAAAGCATTCTCGCAGCGCGATTCTCCGTGCGTCTCGCCATGCACTATCGTTGCGGATACCATTCGCGTTGAATTCGCTGTCAAAAATCGTTACGGTCCTTGCCCTCCGTCAACCCCTCTGTCGAAAACCTCCCGGGGGGCGGGAGGCTATTCCCTTCCCCAAAGTCGAGTCGGGATGGGATTTAAACAACAGTCCGCGCCCGTCCTCCGACTCGCGTCTCGCATGTGATCGATATCATATACTATCGCGCGTGATCCTCTTTTCGAACGTACATCGCGCGTTTGCGGATATGTTAAACAAGCAGCTGAAGAGAAGCGGAGAGACATCGACGAGACGAGACGAGACGAGACGAGACGAGACGTGGAGTTGGGTGCATTTTGATTCGAAACGATCGTCCCCGATATTGACCGTCGCGCGGCGCGTCGCGGCGTTACCCTTCTTCTAGCGCGTCTAACTCGGGAGGCGCGACCGAATCACGACGCGAGATTTACGATTTAAACCTCGCGAAAAGAGACGGGGAAAGAGAGAAGCGGCCCGCCGCGAGGAAGCTCTCTTGATCGCGCTCGGTCCATCGACTCCGCTCTCTCTCTCTCTCTCTTTCTCTCGTTCGCTCGTTGATGTATGCTCGCATTACTCACTTCATGTTTGCTTGGCCGGTATGGAGCGTATGCTATGCCCTCATGCAAGTCGTATTCCGGCTTCTGCACAGTATATCACCGAGCCCATGAAAACACGCAAGATTCGGACAAGACTTGCGGTAGTTCGACATATAAATAACGAGAATGAGTCTAGCCGCGCGGCACTAACACCACCGTGACACCCTGCCGCTGCACATCTGGCCGGCCATATTGCCGACTTGGAATTCCTACTCCCTACCATCCACCTACACACACATTGATCACATACACCACCCGCCTTGCTTGCATACGTATGTACGCGCGCTGTCCTGTCCAACACCTGAGCCACCTGGCGTCACACGCGGTGCAACTGCTCTGCAATCTGCAACGCGAGCGAACCAACAACCTGCAATCTGCATCATCGACCAACTCATTGCACGGTCGATCGTGCAGTTTGCAGAGGAGGTTCCAATGTCTCCGGCAGCAGAGGGCTCGTCAGAGACCCACAGGGATTCGTTTCCCATCTTATATACATTTATCCTTAACAATGACGTATCAAAAGGCGAAAAAACCGCGAGAAATTGAAAAACTAAGCTAAATTAAATATTTATAGAGTCATCTTGAGATGCCATATAATTTATACAGAGAGCCGTGTATTATTAGCATTTAGCATATATCTTAATTAAAACATTATATATTACTTAAGACAGTTCTAAAATATATAACAATTGATTGATGAATACTTGACGCACATGAGATGCGTGCATGGAAATGATCGGGATCAGCGTGCAGGAATTATACCCCTGCAGATCATGCGGTTCCCTCGTGGTTACCTGCACGCGTTACCGACGGCGTTACGCAATTCCTGCAATGTCATCGACATTCTGGCGGTGCGCGGTGCGCGTGCGGTTCGCGGTTCGCGCCCCCGTCGCGATAGCGTCGCGGTAGCCGTTGCGTGCATTGGCGGCCGATCGAGCACTCGCTCTCTGTGGCTGAGTAGTATCAAATCAGCAGAGTATCTGGCAGTATCCAGTATCGTGAAAGGTGATGCGCCGCGGCGATACTTGACTCGTGCGCGAGCTCTTAATGTGCGAGCCTCACGTGAGTTTATCTGGCGTTCAAGTACCGCGGGGGGAAATCTGCGATAATCGTGCGGCAACGTGTAGTGAGCGGAGAGCGACACGACGCGCGAACAGCGCCGACAGCCGCGACTCCGAACAGAGACGTGATCGGCGCGGCGCGCGGCGCACGTAGCTAGGACATCACCCCGCGAGAGAAACGCCATTTTGTGGTCGCGCTGTTGGGACGTAAACATCGGACTTTCCAATTGTATTTGACGCGGCGGGAAGATCGTTTGCTGACCGGGCGCCGTCCGAGCGGCTTTTCCGTAGCCCGTCGACATCGTTCTCGCATACCAGCCGATCATTGCGGCACGACACCATCCCCTGTCCAACGTTAACGGCGTGACGTTTCGCGCCAAATCCCGTCGCGAGACGCACACCTGGCGCACACACTGCGCTGTCTGCGCTGCGGCGAGAAACAGCTGTCGTCGGCTCGTCGCGTCTGGTTGCGCGTCACCGATCGTCCGGCGATATCGGCGTTTCCGCGCAATTTTGGCGCTACCCAACGACCCAGGTACATAACAACCGGTATTGAGATCAATCGTCGAGGACGATTCGATTCGACGTGCATTTCGGCACCGAAACCGACGCGACAACAGTGCGCTCCGATTTCACGCGAGCGTTACGTATCTCTTGTTTACGTGTGTGACGCGTCATTAGTTAGAGATGAACTCTGCCACGAAATTTCGAGACGCCGCGCTGCAACAATTTAATCGTTCTTGTTACTTTCATTTTTACTTTATTATGTCCTAAATTTGCATCAAGTTGCAAAATTGCGCGCTTCAGATTCAAGTTCGAGACCAATCAGAGATGTACTTGTCATAAAGTTTAAAATACATAAACGTTTACATTTTCAACGCGATCGACAGCGATCATAAATTGAATTATTCCTGGCAATTTGTTTTTTTATCTCAGAGAGGAAAGTGTTACCAGCTAATGATGGTATCCTATTCTTTTCAGAGTTACGCCATTGCAAGAGCTTTAATTGCTGCATAAAACTTGTGCGCTATGACAAAAATAACATTATGATTATTGACGATTATTCGCTAGCGAATATTTTATCGAGCAAGATTTGAAGATATGCGTTTTGTTATTGCAAAGAGGCTTGATGAGTGCACAAAAGTATAAGGAATGGTATTCTATTCGATTCAGCTGGATGTCAGATAAGCTGAAAAATGTCTGGTGATGCGGGATGGAATGCCGTTATTCACCATCCTTCGGGCTTAGAATTACAGAATTGGAATTGGGAAGAAAACGATGGGGAGCAAGAGAAAGAGCTCCCTTCAACCGTTGATATGGATGCCATAAAAGGCGGCGGTAGTTGGGATCCTACTACTGAACTTAATGGTATTTGCAAAATTCAACATATCACACTTTTATAACTTTTTTTTGCCCTCAAAATAAATTTTTTATTTCTACAACAGGAACAGATTCGGTTGATTCCGAAGAAGATTCTGATTCCGACGACGAAAGCTCTGGTGGAAGCGAAGGCAGTTGCTCTTATTCAGATTCTAATTCAGAGTCAGACGACGAAAGTAGCGGTGACGAAGAAGAGGATAGTGGATCTAATTCAGACTGTTCGTCTGAACATAGTGAACAAACGTTTTCCATTCAAGAAACAAACTTTGAACAAGTACGTTGTGAAATGTGACATTCCACACCTGTTTTTTACATTTCGTGTTACTGGGACTTTTGTAAAAAGATAATTTTCCGTACGTTGCAGGGAGCATTAAAATTGAAAATCACCATGAAAGGTCCAAAGAAGGAAGATTCTGAGAAAATTAAATGTGAAAAAAGTAAAAAGGCTATTACAAAGAAAACCAATCTCAAAACCAATCATGGAAATAAGGTAATTTATAATAAATAGTTGTTAAACATTTTGTGTGTGTTGAAATTAATTAATCCGTAATTGCTAAGAATTCGAATGGATGAAAATAAAATTAATGTCATAATTAATTTTTATTTTTATTCTAATTCAACTTCATTTTATGTCAAAATGTATATTGTTGTTACTATATTATTATGTAGTAAATAATATGAGCTCTTTCTCTCTGATATAGTCCTCAGATTGTAGTAGCGAAGATTCGGACTCGTCTGTGGGGCATGCGGTGTCGCAACAATCACAGCAACAACAGTCACAGCAGCATCAGCATCACCATCATGTGCCGCTACAAGAAATCAATCAAGAAGATCTAACGACTATCTTGCAAGAGCAAGAGGACGCGCCATTTGACGGATTTGAGGATTCGGAGAGCGGTCGGCTAGTGTCAAAGGCGATCGAGCGCATGTCACTCGGCGCAGACTCGGACACGAGCGAAAACGGCGACCAGAATCCCGTACCTGTACCATACAGTTCCCCTTTGTTGCAGCAGTTTGTCGAAAAGACTGCTATGTTGTCGGAACCACGGAAGAGACGCAGCAAATGTGGTAAAAAGTTGAACAACGACAACGAGTATCCATGCGTATCGAACGTGTCGCCCGACTCTGGTATTCAATCGGTTGACAATAGTCCGCTACATCTGGCCATCAGTCCTGTCAGTCCTCCGGCGCCGACTCAATCTCCAATCCAACCGGCGATTTCCACCAAACCAGTGGTGAACGTCGATCGCGTTCTGTATCCTCCAAAAAGAAAACCTGGTAGACCAGCGAAAACAGTGTCTACGCAACCACGCGGACCCGGCAGGCCGCGTTTAAAGCCGGAAATAGTCGAGAAGATCCAAAAAATCGAAAAAGCGGAGAAAGAAAGAAATGAGTCTTTAAAAAATCTAAAGAATCCCGAGTCTCGATTAACGGAAAAGAAGGAAGCTGCAAAGGAATCTGCGAGTGTAAAGGCGAGCGCGAAGGAAGATGCGTCTCTAGTTAGAAAACGGGGTAATGCAAAGTCAATTGCCTCGAGGGAAGTGAAAGAGGACGCATCTCCTACGGGTAAACGGGTAAAAGGTAAAGCGACAGCGTATCAAAAGAAACGTTACGGTAACTCTGTGAAATCTTCGCAAGAGAAGACGATGGTCAGAAAGACTCCGCGAACAAGTTCCCCGATGCGAGTAAAGTGCCTAAGCAGATCCGCCGCGAGCAAACTCGCGCCACAATGTGATGGCAGGACCTGCCGGAAAGTCAGGCAAGATAGAAACACATGTTCTAATAAAACCACGGTCCCATTGACACGACAGAAGCAAATGTCCTGCGAGCATCAGCTTACCAATGACCAAAAGATGTTGAGCACCAGTAAGAGAACAGGTTCAAAGGAGAACAGGAGTAACGCGACCACCGCCGTCGTATCTAGAAAACTAACGAAGAAGGTCGCGCCTCCGGCCACTAGGCGTGTTCTGAAGGAGAACAAATGCAACAAGAAAAGTACCGCGGCGGGTTTTGAGACCAATGGCGTAGGTGTACAGACGTTAATATCCCTGCCAGTTGGCGACATATTGAAGGCGGAAAATATGGAACGAGCTTCCAACAACAGGTACGACAAACCGATGCAGCCAATGCAGTACAGTCATTGCCACAAACATCATCATCATCATCATCATCATCATCACCATAAACATCGTCGGAGACTACTCGCACCGCCGAAGAATCCCATTCGCATCGATCCATGTGTCATCGAGGAGTTGGAGAAATTGATCGAGGAATTCACAAGATTGTGCAGTCTGGGCAAGAACAACAGCGGCGGCGGCGGCGGCGGCGGCGGCAATCATTCCGAATTGCCGCAGATCTTTCGCGTGAAGAAGCTGACGAAGAAAAGAAAAGGCGCCGATGTTAACGCGAATGACGATCAAAAACTGAAGCGGCGTTTGAAAAAGGAAAAAGTACTGACGGGCACCGACTCGAAGAGCAGCGCGAACACTAGCACGAGTTCGAATCCGAACGAGCAGCGGTTACCGTTGAAGAAACGTCATTATCATGTGTCGAGTCCGCACAGTTCGCAAAGCTCGAACGCGAGCTGCACGGATGCGAATGCGAACGAGTCCAATTCCACGGAAAGCCACATAGAGGAAGCGATCGAAGCTACTATTACGAGATACGGTGGCGGCAGCTCGACATCCTCCATTCACGACGAAGAAGAGGCCATGCCGGTGACGCCGAAGAAAAGACCAAGGGATGCGGCCGAGAACGCGGCATCTGAGAAACAGGGTAGCGATGAGGATAAAACCACCAGCCAGGTAGAGATACAACCACGGCGGAAGAAAAAGATTGTAAAGGATCTTCGTGTCACTGTCACGAAATTGTCATCGTCCGAAAGTCATAGTCTTCTCGACAAGAGTGACAAGGAGAAGTCTGTGGATAAAAGCGCCAATTCCAAGATCAACGCGGAGAAGTCTGGTAAATCGGATAAAATAACAATGTCGGACAAGTCGACGAAGGCCGATAAAGCGCAGTCAAATGACAAAATGGATATTGAACATGTTCGTACGGAAAAAAGTATAAAAGTCGACTCAGAGACACACGTGTCCGAGACGTTCGACGACGGTGAAGCCGGTGCGACCGAGAACAAGCCAGCTCAGATCGATAATTCGAACGTGCCAAATCTCATGAATAATACCGCGGCAATGATACTCACGAAGAAGAAGATACGAAGACGAAAAGCCATTAATCGCACGGGCTTTCCTACTTTGAAGAAAAAGAAGAAAAAGCTTGTAGACTCTCCGAGAGTGGGAGTCAAATCAACAGTATTGGTTAGTGCTAATGGAATATGTAAGGCTCAAGACACAGTCGATCAAGATGTAGAGGACAATAAGGCGTCTTTAATGGAAAATAAATCTCAGAACGTTACAGAAAAGGAACGACGCGATAGTACAGCGGTAGTACCCGCTAAGAATGATGACGTAAAGAATTTGAACAATTCTAGTACAGTGCAGCAAGAGACAGCCAGCCGAAGTGGTTCGGACGAGGTAATCGAGTCCTGTCCCGGTCAGCTGCGAGTTCGTAAGGATCTCGTTGAATCCGACAGCAGCGTATTGTCCGAGAAGCTCTATCCGAGTCCGGTAAAGTACGAAAAAATACCGGACTGTCGAATCTACGACGAGAATGCGTCGTTGGAGGAATCCCTCGAACGTTACAATCAGAATCAACGTATCGCGGAGTTAAACGAGGAGAACTTGAGGAAATTGGAACGCGTAAACGCTCAGGTAGCGAATGTCAAAATGGAATTATCTGGTTGTTTTAACAATAATCATAAGAGAAGAAGAGGCTCGACCAGTCCTTCCAATTTGTACGGGAGAAGCACAAAGAGATTGAGGAGCGCGGGCTACGATACGGAGAGCGAGGCACCGCCCAGCAGCGACGTCGCCAGCGAGGATCAAGAAATCGGCAGAAAATCCGCAGGTCCTATTCATAATCGGAAAAAACAGTCGAGATGGAAGAAGCGATATTTACAGGCGAGCAGCATATTTTCCGAATACAAGAAAGACCTCGAGACTAAAAAGCTCGCTGGCGTTGATGCCAAACGTAAAATTATCGTTTGCGCCAATTCAGATGAACATTATGCTGCGGAACAATTACCAAATATTATACCGACCGGAAAACTCTTGCGACAGAAGAAAACGCCATTTCAACTGCAGTACGATTTATTGTGGCTGCACGCTCAGTCGAGATTATCTGGTCGGGATTTGGTGCCATCGTGGAATTATAAGTAAGAATCACACAAAAATATTCTCCCTTTTTAATTTTATAGCTAAAGCAATCTTACTACGATATAACTACTGTTGTATTGTACATATATCATACGTTACAAATTTGTACATATCCACAATATCCACAAGCATAATAAAAGTGTGACTAATTTAAAAATTTTATGTATATAGAAATTAAATTTAGAACAGAGCGATGACTTTGCATTTTTGTTTGCAGAAAAATTCGAACCAACATTTATTATGACGTTAAACCAACTACTCTCTACGAAGCACAAGCCTGTGAGTGCAAACCAGAAAGCGGCTGCGGAGACGATTGTATCAATCGCATGGTATTCAGTGAATGCTCGCCCCAATTGTGTCCTTGCAGTGACAAGTGCGAAAATCAAAAAATTCAAAAGCACGAGTGGTCACCAGGACTACAGAGATTCATGACGGAGGACAAAGGATGGGGAGTAAGGACGCAACAAGCCATTAAATCCGGAGACTTTATTCTCGAGTACGTGGGTGAAGTTGTGTCAGAGAGGGAATTTAAATCGAGAATGGCAACCAGGTATGATTCGTTCTATCAAATCAACTGTTTTTCATTCTTATTATGAATTCTTTACAAAAATATATGAAAAACGTATAAAACGATAGATACGCCAACGATACGCATCACTACTGTTTGCATCTGGACGGTGGCCTAGTAATCGATGGTCATCGCATGGGAGGTGACGGAAGATTCGTGAATCATTCGTGCGAGCCCAATTGCGAGATGCAGAAATGGAGTGTCCTCGGTCTACCACGTATGGCGCTATTCGCATCGAGAGACATTAAGCCGGGAGAAGAATTGACGTACGATTACAATTTTGCACTTTTCAATCCGTCGGAAGGGCAGCAATGTAGATGCGGAAGTAATGCCTGTAGAGGCGTTATAGGTAAATTGATAGAAAGTAAATTATCTTCGCGGTGTATAAGTAATGTATTTCAGGTATTTCAGTTATATATATATATATATATATATGTATATATATAATTATGTACGGCAGGTGGCAAGAGTCAAAGGGTAGCTCGAAGTATTCCCTCTCTACCGTCGCAAATGGAGCCTATCGAGAGGAGATCGGTGGGCAGACCGCGGAAAAACATTCGTAAATCGAACGCGGTGCAAGCGGCCAACTCTAAGAATATCTGCAAATCTCGCAAAATGGGAGATCCAATCCTAACGCACAATACACCACAGTTGAAACCGATGTCTTATCAACAGCGATGCTTCGCGCGCGAACATCATTGCTTCTTGTTGAGAAATCTGGAAAAAGTGCGACGACTCAAATCGGCGTCGGTACAGCAAGTTCAAGTACAGAACGGAAAGGCGAAATCTGGAAGCACAAACGTGACGAAGGAAAAAAGTTCGGGAGACTCTAAAGCGCAATCCGATGCATTTTTCTCTCAATTAACTGCGCTGACCAACACCAACGCGCGTACTGTACGAACGCGCAGACTTGCACAAGCACAGGACGATCCAGAAGTACATAAGACTGCAAAACTAGCTAAGGTCAGTGAATGGAACTCCTTTATTGATAATAATAATTATTCATGACATTAATAAAGAATTCCCATTATAATTACAATGTGGATGAAAAAACATTGTTGTTGTATATTTATTTCTCTTTTATTTCTCTTACAGGTATTAAAAGATTTGTACACAATTGTTGCAACAGCGAATGATGAAAACGGTCAGCTGTTGTGCATTCCTTTTATGACTTTACCTCCTAAAAGAAAATTATCCGATTACTATGAGAAGATTGTAGAACCGATCGATTTGATTACGATAGATCAGTGTATCGGTACTGGCCATTACAAGACCGCGGAACATTTTGACCAGGATATGATTAGACTTTTCGACAACAATGTCAGATTCTTTGGTAGAACATCTGAGATAGGAATTGCTGCGGCAAGACTACGGAAATTGTATTTGGGGAGTAAACCTAATTTTGTGGACGCTATAACGGAGGCGACAGGTTCTCCGCCATCTCAAGGCTTTTTACCACCTCGTGGATCTACAGCTGGAGAAGAGGATGTCATCAGATGCATTTGCGGACTACATAGGTAAATTGATTGCTTACATCGATTATCGATCTAACATGCATATAATGGCAATCAAAAGTAGAATAAAATTATGAATAAAGTAGAGATCTTAATATATGTATATCACTTTATCAAAAAAATAATTACTTTTTTTTTTTTTCTTTTGTTGTGCGTGTGCATAAATCATTATCTTTTCTTTAAATATATTGTTATTGATTGAATTTGTACAGAGACGAAGGTTTGATGATTCAGTGTGAACGCTGTCTTGTTTGGCAACATTGCGACTGTGTTAAAGCAGACACAAGCGTCGAATCTTACCTATGCGAAAGATGTCAACCTCGTGAGGTTGATTTAGAAATTCCATTAGAAGGCGAGGAGGAGGAAGAAGGCAAGAAGCATTATGTGACGCTGATGCGAGGCGATCTTCAACTCCGACAAGGCGATACGGTATACGTTTTAAGAGATACACCTGATAAACACACATACAAAACTATACAGAAGCCTGATTATGAGCAGATGGACATTTTTAGAATCGAACGTCTATGGAAGAATCGCGAGTAAGTGATTGTTTTATATTTTCTGTGTGTGTGTGTGTGTGTGTGTGTGTG